AATATATATTAAGACCGGCAATAAACTATAATAAATTACAGGACTAAAGGTATATAAAGTAAAGGAAATTAAAGATATATAAAAAATTAATAGATAAAAAATATATTTAATTAAATAGAAAAACTACCTAAAAAGCAAAAACATATAAGAACTAATAAAACACCTTACTAATACCTAATAACTCCTAAAGAACTTTTACTAACTATATTAAAAAGCAAAGGATTAAAAACCAGGTTTTAATTAATAACATCAGCACTGCCAAGAGACTAAACATCTAATACCGCCATATCCTCCTCTTAAGTAATAATATTGCCTATAGAAGAATTTATACTATTAATAATAGATTAAATACCCTATTTACATAATAAACGCTTTTAATAATAAATATAAGATAACCTTATAATAGCCTTATTAACTTCTTATTAAGCCTTAAGAAGTTTCTCCTTAGCCTCTTCTTTTACCTATTCCAGACAGTTAAACTCCCGATTTAAATAAAGAACTAAGAAACAGTTAGTAATAGGCAGTAATAATAAAGAAATAATATATAATAAGCAATTATAATACCAAAAGCATTATAGGATTAACCTTACTAAGTATACTTAAAGTAATAAGAAGAATGCTTAATTATTTTATAATAAAGGCCTTTAGCCTTATAGAAAGAATAAGGCATAATATTAAAATTAAATTTTATAATTAAATCTACTAAATAGATATACTTTAAAGTCTTATAAGATTTTAACTAAAGATTCTATAATATAATAATTAGTAAGGTATGCTAGGAAAATAATTAAGGAAAAGAGTTAATACTTACTAAAGCTTAATATAAGAATAAGGAGATATATAAGTCTTAAAAATAAGACCTAATAAAGGGGAGATATTATATTATAACCTATATAGCTATATTATATAGCCCTTATAATTTCCACTAATTAGCATAGGATTACTTCTCCCTATAATAATCCTCTTTTATTAAATTACTTAAATTACGGCGCTCTAAGACTAGATTACTATAGATTACTAGCAATCCTTATAAATCTAACCCTTAAATTACTTTTATTCTCTACTAAGCTATAAGGCTACCTCTAGTATATAGACTATATTTATTAGCACTTTTATAAAACTTAGCTTACTAGCTATTAATAAGACTTCTTTATATTAATAAGCCTAATAAGTATTACTTAATTATTAAGAGATATAATAACTAACTTGCTTAGTATAACGCCCTATACAATCTGCAAATATAAACCTAGTATAGACTAGTTTCCCTGTTTGAAACCCACGACTATTACAAAAAGCACTTTATAATATTCTTATTTATAGCATCCCTGCTTAATATTACTTAGTCTCGGCAAGGCTATTGTTTTTTATTAATATTAATAGCAAGCGCGTATATTGCAATTAATCTTTAAATTATTTATTATTATGCTTCTACTAATAGGATAGCTGCAAAAGGGCCTAGTTTTGGGCCGCTCTATCTTGTTACGATTCGTGCCCGTAACAGCGCTATAAGGCTCTATAAGCAGCTGAATGCACTACTGTAATTGCTATAATAGCAGTTATAGCCCGATCTTTTGCCCTGTGGCGTAGTGGTTAGGTGCAGCCGTTACATTTACTATATAACCTTATCTGTAATTATAAACTATTAGTCTAATTCTAGGGAATCTAATGCTTTAAATTTTACATTTATATGCCGTTTTATATAAATAAGAAGCTAGTCTGAGTTTAGGTAAACCTAAAATATTAAGTCTTATAATAATATATATAGCTCCTCTTTACTTATAAGTTAATAGCCTTTTAGTACTTTATTAACTACCTAGGCTTTAAATTTATTATTTTATTTATATATCTATTCCTTAGGCTAACCTAGAGGTGAATTTGTATCTTTTAGATAAAGAGCTATTAGCTAGAAATTTGCCTAAGAGGTTATATATTTTTTTTAATTTTTTTTTTAGATTTTAAATTATCTTTATTATTAAATCTCGTTTTAAACTTATACTTCTGTAAACTTACTTATATATTATTTCTTTAGACTTAAGATCCCTTTATTCTGGCTATTTTATATATAGTTATCCTTATTATATTTAGGATTAATAAAGGGCTCTTTATAGACTTAGAAGCTATATAGTAGTTTAGACTAATATTTAGTTTTCTTATTAATATAGTTACATAAAGGATTATATAGAGCTATAATATATAAAGTACTTTAAGTCCTTAGAAAGTTATTATAATTAAGGTAGAATGCATCTTAATATAAATAATACCTCTGCGATATAGACTTCTAGATAGTTTTGGCATTCTTAGGACCTTAGGAATTTCCTAAGGCTTAATAAGTAAGCTAAGGTTATAAGGTATAATAGGTTAAGAAGAATTAAATAAGATATTATCTTCTAAGTCTCTAAATTCTAAAAGACTCCTTTTACTCCTTTTAAACTCTATATCTTAAAGATATAAAGCTTTATTATTATTAAATTTACTATACCTATAATAATTATATTTATTAGCTAAGTATAAGATAAGAAATATATTAATATAGTTATTATTATCTATAACCTTAGAGAACTATTACTTATTAGCTATATAGGCTTTAAAGAAAGACTAGCTACTCTCTATATATACTAATTCTGTAAATTAAGAATTGGCTTATTACTTTATATTAGTAGCCTTCGGGGTTAGGGGCGAGGCTTATAACTCTATATATACTAGTATTAAGGACTAGAAATAAGGCATTTAATTTATAAAGGTAGCTCTTAGGGTTTTAGGGAGATCTATATAAATAGCCTATAAAGTTAGAGGAGAAGATAGTAGCTCTGTGGCTCCTGCTTCTGTATATTAATTATAAGCCAGTTACTCTATAAAGGTAGCTATTAAATTAAAAAGAAAAGAAGAATAATTAAAATAGTTTATCTCTTTTTGCACTTAAAGATTAATATTACTATAAAATATAGATAAGAAAGAAAGAAAGAAAGTTAAGAATATATAAATACCTAGGAGGTTTATATACCTTAAGACTTAAGTAGCTAGTGCTTTCTCTATTAGCTATAGCATATTAAATTATTAAATAATAAAGGATTTCTATTTAGTAGTATTAAAGGTTTTTTATAATAGCTAAGCAGAGAGTTACTACTAGGCCAAGGAATGCCAGGTCTTAAAGATATATATATATTTAAAACCCTTTAGCAAGTATATAATAGGCAGTACTATATAATAACTATAGCTTTGCCCCTGCTGCTAGTTTATAACCCCTATTAGTAAGGCAGAATCTGTTTAATATACTAAAAGAAGTAGCTTATAATATCTATTAGACTATTACCTCTATTATATAATTATAGTAAAATGAAATACTTAATATTAGGATATAGGTTTTTAAGAGTATTACTTAACTAAGGCTGCAAAAATAGAGTCATAGTTAGGAAGTAATTAAGAAGATGCCGTTTCTATAGGGTGAAACCCTAAAAGGTATAAGATAATAAAGCAGGATTTATTATCTTAGAGATAATAAAGGATGCTTACTAGCCGTCATGCCTAAATAAACGTCTTTAATAAGTCAAATACCAACTTTGCAATAGAACCAGCCTCCAGAGTTATGTAAGCTTTTGATCCTTCATCCGTCCCTGGCTCAGTCCCAACTAAAGGGCGGTTAGTGACGTATAGCATCACCTTTTGTTACTTGGTTACACAGGCAAGCACCTTAAAGGGAGAATAGTGTCAGGTCACCCAAAGCTAGTTACCAACCAGTGATCTTCATGTTTCTTGTCCTATCATCCGCTACTCTAAAGCAGATCCCTCTCCTATAAGATGACTGGTTTGCATCTGCAAGGTTTCTAACCTACCTGTTTTACCCAGGCCACTCGACATGAGGAATCAGAAGCTACTTGATACGTCACAAACCTAATCGGGATACTGGCTATCGGTGAGGCGGCTGCTTTAGCCTATTACACGCCAGCTGTCCTAACAGGTTGAATGAGCTCAAAAGGATCAAAACAAGGATAATGCATATCCTTGAGATCTCTAAAACTGTCTTAACCCTTGGGCTGCCTAAATGTCTGGGACAGCATTTTCCACCAGCTAATTCCTGAGATTAAAACTATCACACTGGTCAACTACGCTGCTTGACGCGAACTAGACCATCTGCAAAGGCACTAAAAACTCGTGGACGTAGTTTGAACGCAAGGAACAACTTGGTTGTCGTAGAGCAGCCAAACGACGCGAGGGATAAGGTTAGGGATCCTGTCGGTTAGAAGGTGATGGTGTCTTATAGCACATGCGGGGCATAACAGCAGTGCAAATATGTGAGTTAGCGTCGATTTATTAGTCTTGTTCTCTCGGCCATCAGAATCCTCTCGCTTTTCTCCGCTTTAGGAGGCTTTTGCCAATGCTCTTATGACGGTGTCACGGTGACATTGTATCACAAGCCTCTGATCGTGGTCTCCAATCGTGGTCTCGGAACGTGTTCTCCTCAGCCCTTACAATGCCACCCATGACTCACAAAGGATTGTTCGATTGACATAATTCACATGTGCCATTGCCGTTATACATGTTGAAGAGAAAAACTATCTTTTACTCTTTCTTCAGCCTTTAGAATTACGTAGCCATTGGATCGGAATGCGGGGAATAGGGTGACGCAGTTTTGCAGAAGGGTTAAACTAGATGGGCAACTACACGCTATGATGCTTGATTGGCGGGGAAGGACAATCCTGCATCTAGCCAAACCCAGAAAGACTGCAAATCGTCAGGCATGTGAAACAGTCCCCTCTCAGCCTGTCCCCACTTCACGTATATTGTAGGATTTCTTATTCTTATCTCCGAAAACAGGACTAAGTCTGGATGTGTAACATGAAGTACAACGCTCCAAATACATGTTTTTTCTTTTTCTGTTCTTCTTACCCAGACAAAGACGACAGATGCACTCTTTAATTTAATTCCTGAAGGAAAATACTGCGTCCCCTGTTCAACCAACCACAAGACCCTGTCTTGCGTTTTGGACAAGAATGATGTCAATGCTATGATGCGCCTGAGAACGTGGTGGTATAGCCCTGTGTTAGACTATATAACTCCATTAACCCTCCTTGTGAACAATCGTTGCCACCAATGCCATTACCCTGTGGGATTGTGGTGTCCATGTCGTTGGAAGAAGACGTATTTATCTTCAGGATATCCACTGATTTGTGTGCTTTACTCCTAATATACTGTTGAATGAGAGCGCAGTCGCAGTCGCTATGTCTCAAAATCTCTGATTTGAGGTGGTAAATTAGCTCAATGAGGTCGTTGTAGCAAAAAGAGAGTTGCTGATGCCGACCTTCCAATACTTCCACCTCAGAGGCCAAAGCGTTTTCTTGATCCTGCTTGCGAGCACGACACTTGGCAGCAGCGTGTCGGTTTCGTTCCAAAGCATTCAGATACTGTCTATTCTTAGTATTATTCAACTGCGTTCTCCTTTCTTGTGGACTCTTTGTGTCGCAAAGCGGCTGCCTTTGTCTGGGCTTTCTCCCGCGTGCTTCCTTCTTGTACGGCTCCAGCGCCGAGTGAGCGCGGTTTAGATCTGACGCTTTCAAGGAATCTGGACTTCCTTGACTGTCGTGGTTTTCGCTAAAATTTGGTGTAATGTTCTCTCCCGTGGGAGTCTCTTGTATTGGATAAATGAATTCAGAAGACTGCTGGACTGTGTATGATGCGAATGATGGTTGCACACTACTAAAGCCAGTTTTGTCCAAGAGGCTGTTAGGAATTTCAGTATTCCTGGGCTGTTTGAAGTCTGGCGTTGAGGGATGCGAGCCTTGAAAACTTGTGGAGTTCGTGGTAAGAGACCCAGAAGAGGAGGCAACCCAATACCATGGAAGTAGGCCATCTGGTATATCTTGCCATGCAAGGTCAAAGCAAGACTGCTCCACTCCAAGCTCATTATATCCAAAGAAAGAAGGCGTCCTAAAGTAGCCAGCGTCTTCTGTGACATCTGTGAAGGCCATGGCTCTTTGTAATATGGGCTTTGTTATTCCGCCACTTGGAACTCTGGTGATCTTCTTTGGGAGAGGAGGTGCGTAGGAGAGGGTTCAATGATCCGGATTTAAATTCCTATCGGCTCAGCCACTCGCTGGATTCGTGGTAATCGGTTCTGTGGGCTTGGGTGACTGGCTTGGCTAAAACCCAGCGTTCTACATGAAAATTCAAGGTTATCAAGCAACTGGGCGAGGCGATCAGATTATAATAATGAAAGCTACCTTTGGCAGATTATACACTAACTTCTTAGAGACAGGGATCAGCTAAACTCCAATTCGCTTTCATGGGTATTTAAATTTTCTGTTTCAAACTAATGACAGCCCAAAAGATCCGGGAAGCCGTTTCTGCTCAATTAAAGGTGCTTATCTTCACTGCCATTTGCTGAGTGAAGACCTCGGCTACGCTGCACCGTGCCCAAAATGTTATAACAGGTCAAGACTGTGTTCTGGATCCTGGACCCTAGGACCTGGGCATGAGTGACATCATACTTCAACTTGACAACAGTTATTCTTATCGAGTCTCACAACTTCGGCATTTCAATATCGTCTGTTTGACATCGGCCTCCGTTGATTTTATTCACAATTGATGAAGGAAAAGCTCATCGAATAAACATATCAACTCATTCATACGAGAACCAACAGACTCATTACGTGTGATTTGATGCTGGATGGTTATAGTGAGATTGCATTTTTCTGTTCTTGTCGGCCTGCATATACCGAGCCACCGTTTGCAGTAGGGGCCAGATTAACGCCCAAGAACACACCATGATGATCTAACGCAGTATATCGACATCGGGGACCGAGGTTCCATCTCCGATATTGTTGATTTAAGGGTAGATTAGAGAAATCAGCATGTACTAATACAGTGCCGCTTAAAGTTCGGTTGTCCATCCGATCCGCATACGCTTTTTGACTCTGAGCGCACGGACTGTATCTGGGGTGTGATGTGATGTATTGTGAAACTGCCTAGCTCTTTTCGAACAAGCACATAAGCTGTCAGCAAGGATCAGTAAATAATGTGCGAATAGGTAGGTGCAAGGCTACTGTGTAATTAACGTGCCCCGTCAGATTCTCATCTATGGGCGAAGGCCTGGCGTGATTGCCGTCTGTGTTTGTGATTGTTTGTGATTGTGATAGTGGCTGGAAGTTTGTGGGATAGAAACAGGGGTTTGAAACTGCTGAAATGCACTCGAGATTATCCGTGGCTGAGGTTGGCAAGGAGGTTGTTGTTGGATGTATTTGTTTGGTCAATGCCGTAAATCTTGATGCTGGAGGGAAGCGGCAGTTGTGTGGGCCACGTACAGGGATGCATGCAGTGGAAATGATGAGGTTGGTGATGGTAGAGAGAATCCAACTTGTCCGGCACTCAGTCTTAATTTATCGGATTTTTTTTTTCTTCACTAGTTTTTTTATAATATCTTTTTCATTATCAATTATTATTATTATTTTTAATATAAGTTTATTATATATAATTAGCTTAAGTTAAATATTAATTATAATATATTTAACTTTAGGGTTACCATCCACAACCCCTCTTTCGGCATAACCCCTCTTTCGGCAAGCAAAATAAAAAAGCCACCACCAAAAATCAACAACTTCACTTACACAGAACTTGACCGAATTGATAGAAATCCGTGAAATTTTTCGTTTCATAAATCATAAATAGGGTTTATCTATTGTACTCTGGTTTTTTTCGCCACCCGCCGCGACCGCCTGGGTGGTTGGTGGGGTATGTTTTCCTCTCTGACTTCGATGACAGAACCAGCCTCCGATTCTGACTCTTGCTCGCTTGAAGAGACAAATTCCACCCCAACAGGCATATAACGAGTCGCCCCTTCTGGTATGCACTCTTTACTAGCTAGAGTCTCTCCAAGAGTCATAAAACGTTTGTTAGGATTCGGCACCGCCTTCCTCTTCTTCCCTCTTTTCAGCCGAGCCAATTCTTCCTCTAGGCTGGCAATCCTCTGCGTATGCGCCGCTACTGTCTGCTGTTGAGCTTCAAAGCCCTTGGCTATCACGTTATACCGTCTCCGCGTCTTTGGTGTTTTGTTCAACCCAAGGTCACGAATTTGACGGCTCGTCTGTGGCGTATCGTCCGAGCCAAGATAAGGCCTGGGTTCAGGAGTCACTCTTGGGTTGCCGTTTGGCCCATCTTGTTGGATTTCAGGGTGCCGTAACGCTTTCGCACGTGAAATTGGCCAGTTCCCAGTGACCCTCCAGCCAGACAGTATGTTCTTCTTGGTCATTCCAACTCGGCGAGCCTTGGCGTAGGCCCTGATGAAATTGACCTTGTCCATTGGAGCGGAATCAGTCAACGAAGCGAACTTTTCCAACTCTCGTCGATATGCAGCCTTCGACGCATTAAATACTCCATTGTCCAGTGGCTGGAGTCCATGAGAGCAGTGTGCTGGTAGATAGCAGCAATAAACGTTGTTCAAAAAGCACGTGGCCATCCATTCATCCTTCCATCACTCAGCACTGATCTTGAGGTGGGGAAAATAGTGAACATACTGTTGCATGGCTTCCATGACCATCTAAAATGATCAGTCTCGCATCAGAGTCGTCGGCAGGCGTAGTCTGGGGCAGATAAACTCTTTCAAGCCATTCAATGCCTATGTGGTCATCAGTCCACCCGTTGGGCGATGTTATATAATACCAGTCTGCTATCTGCTTGAACTCATCAAGAAACCACTGTTTCTGGAGTTGTTTCCCCTTGAATATTATGCCAGGAACTAAAGCGCGGCCGTCAGCGGTGATAGCTTCGATGAATGAAGTCCAATTCCGAGTTTGTGGTCCCTTGAGAAACGCCTTGCGCTTCGGGTCCGCGCTTCCAACGACCAGGCTATCTAGACCTGAACCCAGAGGGTTAGTCGGCCAAAACTCAAGCATTGACAGGGAATAGAGGTGAATGCTTGCCGAAACCAGTCATAATACCCCCCTCATCAACGTTGACGGTGTTTTCAGGCTTGATCCAACCATATTGGCCCTCCCTGATATCAAAGTACCAATGAACCGCTCTAGGTGTGAAAGAGTCGAACCTCTTGGCTTCTTGACGTCTGCCCATCTTGGTCTTTAGGTCTGCACGGCGATTGATAAACTTGTTCACCCAGTTGCGTCCTAAGTCGGGATGTTCGCCCTGCTGTCTCAGCAGGCCCATGACGCAAGCGCGGATCTGACTGTGGGACGGAGCATAGCCCAAAGACTCCTGACGGAGTATCCAGAAAGCGAGCCTATCCTCTTGGCTCTTGGACAAGCGTCGATAAGGGTGGACCTGCTCTTTCACGGCCCCGCGGCCGTTAAGTCTGTCGATTAGAGTGCTCCGAGGCACTCCCCGTCTCTGAGCGGCTTGAGGAGGTGAAAAACCATTATCAGTAACATCCAATATGGCCTCTGCCATATCTTCCTCTGTGTATTTCCATCGAAGTCTTGACCTAGGCATTTTCATATGTTGTCGCAGATAAAGGCCAAAAAACACAGAAAAGAGCGGTGAAGAACTTGATGATCGAATTAACACTATTTCCATATCACGGTATGCATACATCGCGTACCCCGCACAGCCTTAGAGGGCTACAATCGTTAACTCCAATCATTTCTATAATCAGCAAAGGCATTGTCCTCCAAGTAGCTATTTATTTTGGCCAATATTTGTGTAAGTGAAGTTGATGAGTTTTGGTGAAGCTTTTTTTATTTTGCTTGCCGAAAGAGGGGTTATGCCGAAAGAGGGGTTGTGGATGGTAAGTCTTAGATAATATTAAGATATAGATTGGGCAATTCGATAAGGATTGGCGTTTATATCTCTCGGCCACGGAAGTTCCCGGGTGGGTATCGCTACAAGGGGGTCGACACAGGGGTTACAGAAATTAAGATCAGCCTCTTAATTTAAATCATGCCCCAGTCTTACGCTGTCGGTGCTGGCACGGGCAAGGCTGGCTGTCCCAACGGACTGGGTCAACTTTGGGCGGGAACTGGGGATCCAGGAATTTGGAAGAAGGGGGAATGGACATGGTGGTGAGGATGGCGTGAGGGACCAAGCACGGTTCCGGAATTTGTGGAAATCGTGAGGCTCAAGTTTCCGCGTCCGGCGCCACGCTCTCTCTTCTCTAATCGACGCGAAGCAGCTTATGGGGCAAAGTCAGAGATGCTGCCATGCTGCATTGACAAACCTACAATTTTAGCTGAAGAGAGGAAATGTGAATAACTAACGTCCCAACGGCATCGAGCGGATGTCATTGTGATGGCATTTCCGAATAACTAGCATGATGGCCATCATTGTTCTGTATCATCTGTGTGTAGGTCTTGGCACAAGGACGAACAATTCTGCAACGAGCCATGCTGGAAGCCAGGGGCTTGGCAATCAGCCAATTCTTGCGTTCAAGGTCCCCTACTAAGCTGCCAAGCGCGCTACAAGGACCCAACTGTTGGGCTCCAAGCGACTGAATGCCTCCAGCAGGCAGTGAGGATCACGGAGGCATGCGCACTCATGCCGGTAATAAAGTGTCAACGGCAGAAGCGATCTACCGTAAGTTTTCTGCAGTCAATCCATTCAGTCAGCGACTGTATAGAGAGTTTTAGATCATTCTGACCCCAAAATTCATCAACCATGACAACATTTCCGAATCAGCGAACAGGGGGGCACGTCCCACCAATTCTCGGCGAAACGTAGCCTGCGTCACTGACCCAGATTTACATCTATGCTTGAGCCCAGCCTCTGCACCCGCTGGGTTCACAAACCCATATTCGATGGCTCCATTTCAGTCGCAATTCTCATATGGTTTACCTTCCCACAATAGTTTCCAGCTGTCCTATATATTTACCGGTTCCTGTTATCCACATCCAGCCATGACCGGGCTAGTTGGATTGTCAGGGCGCCAGCCGCCTTCGTTCATCCTCGCTCTTGGCAAGGATACCAGGGAGCCTCTCGAGAGAGCAATTGAACCGGATGACACCCAGGCCATGAGCCCGCGGATGACGAGCGAGGAAGTCGAAGCGTTGAAGCGTGAAATGCATACTGAACTGCACCGGTTAGTGAAGCCTGTTGAATCTCCCTATGCACGTTAAGATGTGCCCGAGGAACTCCCTCACGGGAACTGCTCACTAACGATTGTTGCTGTGGATATAGGCATGCGACAACTTTGCGGGACTCGCTACTCCTCATCTTGAACCGCGTTGAGGCAGTTGAGAAGGGATACGAGAAGCTACACAGCAACCAAAAGGTGCTGCAGAAATATATGGAGGACTTAACTACCATTCATCAGACCACAGCTTCGGACAGCCACGAGAAGCACTGGGCTTTTCTTGCGGAAGTTTTCGTCGTTCTCCCGAGACCAACATACAACATCAACAGCTGGAACTCGACTTGGAACTAGCTTCCCCTGACTTGATCAGCTTGCCGTTGCGGGGTTTTTAGCTGGCACAGCAGGGTCTGTGAGAAGTTCTATGTTCTCGGATCACTATTATCCTCCTAACGAGTTCCTGCTTGTCGTCAATGCCACAAAGAACACTCCCACTCTACTCACAGGAGGGATGTTTCTGCACTTTGTTAAGACAGCTAGGCAGAGCAACAATTGTCCAAGATCAACATACAATGAATTCGATCAGTGCGGCCGTCGCTCCAGGGCTAAGTATCCATTACATATTAACAGTCTCCCCTCCCTCTTGCCTCGGCTGCCCCCAATAGCCTGGCGGCCCTAGAAGTCCCTCATCACCTGCCGCGACATCCACATTAAACCTGACCATGTCGATGCGCAAAACATGTATTGGAAGATTAGTAATGTGGAAATAACATCTCAAATGCAGCAATTGTCGACTGCAGTACTGTGTGCTCTTCTACAAGAGATCTGTTTCTCTCCTCGAGGAGCGCAATGTACTCTCTCGCCATACATATAATGGCCTCCTATTCTATGTAAGAATTATTATGTCACGAGTTGGGTGCAGACTAACCTTATCTCCTATCAATTTAGGCGTTCCTCCTTGCGGATCCTTCATTACACTCTCCTCTCCTTCCTTTCCCATTATAACTCTCATACTAGAGATACTATCCCGTAATTCGGTAAATGTATCGTTCAACTGCGTGTCGTGGCGCTTCTCGATTGTGCACCTGGGCGGGGCTTTCGATGGTTTGTGACGGCCCGAGTTGCATGCCGGTGCGGTAGAACACTCGGGCTTGATTACCATGCTGGAGGAGAGGGACAATGGCGTCAGTCTATACGGTCTCTGTAGCTCGGGAGGTCCCGAGGAACGGTCGGATACGGTGCGAAGACAGTTGGCACCGGGGGAAGGGACGGGATATATCTTGAGGTTGAAAGGGATTGCCGCGGCACTTGAGTCCGTGGTAGATTGGAACGCCCTAAACACTTCCCTCAACTCAGGCTGCGCTGAAAATAATGGCGTTGGAAATGCTCGCATAATAATTCGCACGATGTATCCGGATGTCTCTTTCTCGATATGCCCCAATAAGAGATATGATATATCCACTAACCCAGAAGACGTGGTACAAAGTGGTACCGCATTTGCGCCACTACCTTTTGACTACCCTATGCAAACTCAAGGGTTTCGTAATACTAGCTGATCATTGGATCGTGTTCTGTGTCACCTTGCCGATCAATGGGGTCCAGGCCAACCTACTGGGTCAGTTAATGCAACCATGGCCTGATTTAGTGCATCACTGCCTATTACAGACAAAGCACGGACGTGGTGACGGAGGACGGCTGGACGACGATCAGGGGTTTAGGCTTGTAACTCTACCATCTGCCCTGGGGACGATCGAGACAGCTTTGGCGAAATATGGGTGCAGCAAATGCTCGAAAAATTATTTATGTTCATTGACAGCCACCATCTCGAAAGGAGCATGTTGTTAAGTGGGCATCTGAGAACTTACTGCGTGGGCTGAAGTAAGCTGGACTGAAGCAGCCTGCTCCTACTCCGGCAATCGGGAGATGTCAGCAATGGCTGGCAGTCTTTACCATACCTCGCCCCGCTTCGACTCATTCCTCGGGGTTCAGGGCGGCTTACTGCCAACACATCGGGACAGAACCGCCCCTCAAAGATTTATAATGCCAACAAATTACCATCCAGCAGGTTGTAATGCTAGCAGGTTACTCATTTAACAGTAGGATTAGCTTCGTCTGCAGGCAGATGTATTGCCGACAGGTTGTTATGCTGACAGCGTGTAAAATCATGTACAGAGTATCATCTTTGACCACTATGGCATCATTCTTCTTGGTGAAACAATCGCTGCAGGCTCTGTCAGGGTCTAGCTAGGAGGCTAATTTACTATTTCACTTAAATAGCTGGAGGCTGCAGCCTTACATATAATAAATCTTATAACCGTCACTGAGAATATCGAATATGGTGGTAAATAGAACCTTTAGTTTTTCAGATTCCTCGACCTCGTCAACACGCGAGTCAAGCCAGGGGGCTAATCTCTGCCCATTACTCCCAGCTCCGCGCCCTCATCCGGTAGGGACCCATGCCAAGCATCGAACAGCTCCCTTAGTATGAAGAAGGGACTAAAGAGTTTATATATCTTTAGCTTGCGGGTCGTGTCGACAACGGAAAATCAAGATACGCCACTACCAAACCCAGTCTCTTTAAACCCTAACCTCGGGAAGTAGCCCTTCTCTTAGAGGTCCATTTAAACATGGGCTAAATGGTTTGCATAGTGCAACAGTGCTCGGCCGACATGTTCTTAGTGCCGAGCCAAGCATATCGATCGTGTTTACCGGCAAACACCTGAGGGTAATTATAGAGAGGTTAGAAATGCTTTAAGTGTTGCATCCCGCTGCCGTTGTCTATGGTGCTATACAGACTCGGCTAGAGACTGAAGTCCATGAGACTGTCTGTTGCATTTGAGCCGATGCCGATGCCGAGACTATCGCCCGTCAACTCAGCACAGCCAATCTCCTTCTTTAAATTCAACTGGAGCCTATAACCAGATATCACTATCAGTTTCTTTACTCACCCCTAATTCCCTTATACTTACAAACTCTAAGGAATCCTTTTATACACTCTTTAATTTACAAGTGGAATAAGAAAGATTACACCGGTAATATTAGTATCTTGACAAGAATGCAACGGCTTCTGGGCCTCGCCGTGGAATGACTGCAGGGTGTTTGTTGAGCCAGACAAGAATGGTGTCACGTTCCTGGATCGTGTCGATGCTCGATGACCTCCTGGCGTTTCTCTCGAGCCTCTCGAGGAGGTCGCAAAGCAATCTAAAGGGAAATGGCATGTGGAAAACGATAGCGATGAGAAGGCTAAAGGTAAAGACGTAGGCACCCAATTCTCACAGTATGCACTAATATTGAGGGTAGTAGGGAGCTTTGCTGATACCTGGCTTTCATTTAGGAGCCAGTCAGCTGCTTATATAGCTGGTCACTCACTAAAGTCTAAGTCGAGGAGCCGACCTCTCTGCAAATGGATCCATGTCCAAGCAGCATACTTTTGGATTCGTCATGCCTCCCGGGGCTTCTGTTGTCCGCTGAAACCAACTGAGGTCACCTCACTGGCATAAACTCCCTTCGAATGCCTTATGGCTTCCTCCAGCATGGACGGTATGCATGAATTCTGAGCTCATACGTCACGCACAGGACGCCGAAGACGATGCCCACGACTGTGGACGGGTCGATGTGAGCTCGATGCATCGTAGGACAAGAACGAGCAGAGTAGTCCAGCAAAAACAAAGGAAAATTAGGCTCAAGGTGAGTATTATAAAAGTTAAGAGTTCAGGTATCGGTGTCAGTTATGGTCGACCCTAGTGCTTTAAAGAAAACCTTTCCCCTGCGCAAGAAAGAACTGACTCTAGCTTTGTTCACTGGCAGCTTGAGGCGCCGCGCTAGATATCGGCAAAACCTTACATGGATTGTATGCGGAACGTTGGGTTAGACATGTTAGTGAAACAAATCTTTATGTGGAGCAGTTATAAACTTTGCCTAACAAATGTTGCGCCTCTGACCCAGGCTCATGGCGAGGTTTATCTCCTGGTCTCACCTTCGACGGGCAATTCTGGATGAAGCGATCAGCGGCGCAAGCCGCCCGACTGTAGCATATGCAGGGGTAGGGCGCAGCATGCCACTGGTACGCATGTTCAAAATGACTTCCGCAGGCAACCGTTAGGCGTCCCAACCCGCTGGTACCGGGCTGCATTTTGGGGTTCAAGAAGGGTCCAGGAGCATCACCGATTACGCCACACCTCACCTCCCCCTTCACCACGATTTCCGCCGTGGAAATGTGAGAGATGGGCCCCACCTGGGCAGCCTGCATTGAGCGAATCGGAATGCTTAGCGGCTTAGGACGCAGCCGTGTCAAACACAGCAGTAAAAACACATTATCACCAGAGGCACAGAGTCGACGTAGATGTCTGCTTGACCACGAAGCCTCTGGATCCGTCGGGGCGGCTAGGCATTTCGAAGGCGGGCGCAACCTGCCTCGCATGTTTCAGGGTCCTTTTTTCCGTCCTCTCTAGGACAGATGTATGTTGAGGACGCGCCTCAAATCAGCCTGATGGAATAGCCCAGGGACAGTTGCACTGCTCTCAACCACCCACCACTGACTCGGTTATATGCTCCTGTTCGTGGGATGGCGAGGGAGCCACGTCGTCTTTGTTGAAGCTAAATTGGCTTTATTCCAATCGACACCACCTGCATGCAGAGCCTCGTTTGCCAATTCACCCCTAGGAACACAAGGATCAAGAGTCTCAAACAAGATAGGAGTGACAGAAGCACGCAAAGTATTAGACCAACTCCAGTTGATCTGCTTGAGCGGTTGCATGGAAGAAGATGTAAAGAGTCAGTGCGGCGGTTCACCGAGGCCAGGTCCCCCGTGAAATTACGATTCTAAGTCCACTATCGGGGTATATGGCCATCTTTTTGAGAAGGATACCCCGTAAAATTATAGGGACGGAGCTTGTCCCGCCAATAATTGCATGCCTGTAGAATTTTCTGTGCAACGTAGAGCAGCGTGGAGATAAGCATCACTGGCGTGGAAGAACCGCCTGCAGGGATGGTGTCAATTGAGGGCTTAACCAATCAAGCGCCATTTTGGATGACCTCTCATGAAAAAGAGCCAGCCGCGCATGGGTATCCCACTCAAAAATTATGCAGCAGCCTGACTCGGGGCTCACCAGGGGATCCCAATTCAGAGCTACTTCCAGAGTACATTTGGACAGCTAGACCGTCAGTCAATGTGAAAGGTACATCATTAACAGAGCACACATTGCCGCCCGCACACACTGTCAGTGTGTACGCAGTTGGTATGGGTGTCCACTGTGGCAACTGACTAGCTACGACCGTGCAGTGCCGGAATTCAACTGGTACGCAAGTGGTTTTCAGTAGATACCAACTCAGTAGACCTAAGATGGCCTGCTCATTCAACTTGCTCAGCCTTAGAATCCTCACAGCGGGAGTCAAACATAACCTTCAACACTCCAAAACCGTCCCCGTCTTCGTTTTCGTGATCAAACTGCAGGTATAAGTAGGGTTGTGCTTCTCCTGCAATCCCTCAGCCTCCCAAAGCTATCCATCACATTTTTCAGCGTCATACCTCCCCGCTCCAGTCCTGCCCTATCCATTAATAAGGGCAGATTTAGGGGATGCCACACTCAACCTCTACTATGTCTCCATTATCGGCCCGAAATGTGGCTAAACCTCCGCTTAGGTGAACCGACTCCTTTCAATCCTTTCACTTCTTTCAAAGTTCCTCTTGTCCTTCACATCAATATCTCGCATCCTGCTGACCCTTGCCTCATCCTTCTAGTTCCAGACGAATTGTCTCCGTACCGAATGACCCCAGTTTTTCCGTCCGCCGGTTCTGGGAGCATCCTCCGCACCAACGAGCCCCACCCGGCTTCTGGAAGTCTCTCTCAGTCGATGAGTCGAGGAAGAGGGTGGAGAATATTCTTAAAGAGCTAGGCTTTCCACCACAAAAGTAACAATCTCTAAGGCAGCATATCTAGTGGGATCTGGCCGGACAGTTGGCACACAGTTGTTGCGGACTTGAATGAGGATGCGGATGTCTTTCTGTGGGTTGAGTTCTGGTTCGGGCCTTGGGCTGGTTGGTCTGTGGCTGAGGGTGGGACTGGGGTTGGCTGGGTATGCTAAGATCTCGTAGCTGCGGCAAGCTTGCCGGGACGGCCCGTCTGTTCGAATCTGCTTCTGTCTCGGTTAGGGCGGGCCTTATGTCTGCAAAAATCGTAGTAGTTGTTTATGTCGACAAAGGTTCCATTGTCTCTTGAACAAAATATTCGACCACATGGACGTTGATCGCGAGCTCCGGATTTGGTGTCGCAAGGCTTTGGCTATGTTGCATTGCACGATGCCTCAGGGACTGGGACTGGCATCTCACAGAGAACATCACAGCCACTGCTTCCCTGCCTTTGAGCAAATCGCTGCTTGACCTACTGTGGAGTCAAAATGAGATCCATTGTGTCCTAGCCGAAAATTGTCGGCCGAGATTTTTCGGGCTAACGTCTCGAGATTCCCGTCTCCCCACTTGTAGGGTTGTTGGGTCACGTCCTTAAGATTCTAGCAAGTTCCACGAGGAAGTAGGATGACTTTACCAGGCTTGTCGCAATACTTCCTGGGGAACTAGCAGGTAGACGGCGTGAGTGTAGGTGAAGCAACGAACCATGGCACGAAGCAAGTCAATACACGACTGGAATGGTCAGTATGCACTGTTGAGGGCAGAATCGGCGGGCGGAGCGGTCGGGCTGAAGAAACATGAGTGGCAGTGCCGGCGACGGCAGGATCGCTCACCAGAGTCGTCGGCAGTGGAGGGCGTGCTGCCGACGGCTGTATTGGGCAAAGGGGGGCCAGGCATAGTGATTGAAGGGCACGAGACCCTGACGCCAGAATTGTTCAATCACCGCGGCGGAAGTTGCAAACTCACCCTCAGTGAACCGAGAGAGCATAGTGGCTCGCATCGACCAGCCTCAACGTTGAAGGTTGCAGAACCCCAAACAACCCCCACCCCCCTTTTTGTTCCTCTCTTCTCTCTCCTTAAAAAGAATTAAAAAATTGATAACGTGCTGATAAGCGAGTGGCGCGCAAGGCCGCAACCGCGCGACAATTCGCATTCAAACGCGTATTTCTCTATAGAGGACCTTCAAATGTGGGAGAAAATCAGCAGGTCGTCGAGGTGCTCAGCTTCGCCTGGCCAAGTCTCGATCCTGAACGGGGAGGTGGAATGTGGGCGTAAGTTTGAATTGACCCCCTCGGCTTTACCTGAGTGGGCGGGCGCAGTACTCCGCCCTCAACCCAGCCCAAATTCCTGGATCCCCCAGCTCCCGCCCAAAGTTGACCCAGTCTGTTGGGACAGCCAGCCTTACTCGTGCCGGCACCGATGGCGTAAGCCTGGGGCATGATTTAATTAGTCATAGTTCTTAAAGGCTGATCTTAATTTCTGCAACCCCTGTAGGCTTCGGTATCTGTCTTGGCCTGACCCTGCACATCCGAACCATGACTTGGCGTGAAACAGCAAGCAAGGGGCCTGCCGCCGCCCCATTTTGAGCCTCAAATTTCCCCGCCTTCGTCTCCACCTGCTTTCCCCGTTGACGATCTTGAAGCATGATATGGATTCGCATTGCCCATGGGTCTTGACTCAGTGCATCAAAGACCCAACTGAGGCGGACTTCAAGGCTCTGATCCTTGCGATGTCGATGAGAGGCCTAGCCAGTTGGCCGAAAGGATCCAAAGTGAACCAGTACGAACGATGCTGTGTTTTAGGTACCTTTGCTTTCCATGTTCACAAGCTCGTCTATGATTTCCCCAAACATCAACCTTGGGTCGCTAGCCTAACGAATTGCCAAGACATAGTTTTGTGCGGCTTATTTTGCCAGCCCCGCCATTTTAGTATGGTTGAAAAAGAAACACAAGCGGATAAGAAACAAGTTATGCCACCACGTCCACTCGCTGCGCCGCCTAGGGCTCTGCATATACGGCCCGAGATAAACACAGAATCCCACGGTGATATCTCCTCGTTACGCCCCGGACACAACGGGGCCCATGAAGCCTCACTCTGAGTTCAGATGCTACGCACTGGTAAGGCAGACTTAAAGCAACCTGATTCAGAGAAGGCGGTGTGCTGCGCAACTTGCTCTGTGCGTCAAATCAGATCTCTTTTCTTACACCTGCACCCAGCGACGCCGGACATTCGGCGGCTGTAGAGCCTGAACGCAGTGCGTAGGGTGAGACAAGACAACTCAAAACACATGTGCCCGAAACCCAAGTCATCTTAAGTCCGTTCACCAAAGTACAAATAGAGTGGCCTCACTCATGTTGATCAGCTTAACCTATTCGACTTCGGAACTGACTGCGCTCGTGGTATTCTTGACCTCTCTATAACTTTGGCTCTGTTCTCTTCCGCCCCTCGTCAGTAAGCCAGTCCTTACTGCTATCAGAATAAACTTGACGTTTCGTTTCCCAATTTAGTCTGTCGGTTCAGGCCTGTATTATTCCCGACTTCAGATCCAACTGCAGCCGATACGATGCGGCCCCGAGCAGTATCTTATCTCCTGACACTCCTTATCTACGCTCGACTTGCTACAGTAGCTTCGAGTTATAGTGATAAGGCGTGTTGCAATAGAGCCCGCGAGAAAAACGCTTTTGTCTCTCCCAACAATGGCATTGCCACTCTCATGGATAACATCGTCTGCGGGCAGAGCTACAATGAGTCTTATTCGGCCGCACCTGACGCCTACGTCACTTATAATTTCTGCAAGAGCGAATGCAGCGGCTGGGGCATCTCCAGCACAGACAACCTGGACCAGTGGGCTGGGTCAATTGTCCAGTTCCTCCTTCCATCCGTCATCTTCAGCATGAACATCCCCAGGCGCTTCGAATTCATTTCGTCGCGATGGCTGGAAGATTTGGTCTTGAGGAATCAACATGGTTGGAAACGAGCCGTATTGTCGCTGCTAATGACGATACCGGCACTGCTGTTTGTTACTGCCGACGCCATTATATGGGTTATGGCTATCATGAGCATGGCGGGCCCGATGATGGTCGCCGGGCTGCACGAAGCACTGCTCGACTTCAAGATTCTAAAGGCGTTGGAGAGGAGGACTTACATTCCGGGGAGAGTCGGCGGTGAGCCGAATGTGCCTAGCGAAATCGCTCTGGGCCCTTTGGGAGAAAACGTGGCTAGGAATAACGTGGCGGGTGAAATTATGCCCAATGACCAAGGCATAGGTGCCTTGAGGGATAAGGTAGAGCTCCTGGTGACTGTCCTTGCTGGGAACCTTCAGCTCGAGCCCTACCGCGGCAACCTGATTGTGTTGATTTCTGATGCGCTACTGGCTACACGGAGACGTCGGTCCACGGCCGCGACACCGCCTCGTCCGCAGACACCTCCAGACTTCCTCGCACCAGAAGGTCCTGAGGTTGAGGAGGCTCAAGGCGACAGAGTCCAGATGCTTGCCTGGAATGAGGCGAACCAGAACTATCCGAGCATGGCCGAGAAGCTCAAGAGGCTCATGACGGCGCAGTCGGCTTTCGGCGCCATCGTCGGGGCGGCGATCGTTTTCTACCTCGGCGCCTTTCTCTACACCATCCTGGACCTCCTCAACGATAAGAGTAACCAGGATGCCGCCATCTCGCTGGCTTTTGGCGTCGAGTGGATGATTATCGTGCATGTCGCAATCGTCAATGGGTTCCTTCTTGCCAGCAACAACCCTAGTCCGGTCACCATGCTCATCGGGCGGCCACCTCCGACTCGCAGGCCACTAGTAAGAAAGGTATTCCCTCCGGTCTATGACGGTATATTCCAGCCAGTGTTTATGTGGCGCCGCGGTGTTAATAAAAGGGAATGGCTCGAGGAGGCGGGAGCGTGGCAGCGTGGCAATCAAGCGTTCATGGATGACGTCCGAGTCAAGAAGCGGGAGTATCTAGGCTGGATCATACTGCCCACCATCATTCTTATTTCCCTGCCACCGGCGGCGGGGGCGGTGGTGGCGTGGCAGACTCCCCCAGCTGGTTGGGGCTGCCGGTCACTCAGCTTTGTCACTTATGCGGGCTTCCAGATAGTGCTTACGCCGTTGTACTTCATCGCCACACGCAGGACGGTGCCGAGGACAATGTCCCAGCGCGTCATCCGCTGGCTCTGGGTTCTAGTGTTCAGCCTCACACTCTTGCTGGCTCTATTCACCAGCATCGCGACGACTCTCATGCAGATCATTGGAGTCTTTCGGAACTGCTTCTGTTACGTGAACACCGACATGTGGCTCAACCTGGACAACGCTATTGTTAACGTAGCTTCTGACACGAAAAACCGGAGGAGCGCAAGCGACGGATGGATTGTTATGGGCGGAGTTGCCACGGTTTTCATGGCAATTTGTTCTTTTTTCGGGTGGTGGTTTCAGATGAACATCCGGGCCACGTTCGAGGATGCGATTAGGGATATTGACAAGTCATTTTAAATCGAGTGTACGATAAGTGTAGGAGCTTATGGCTGCCCATCATTGGACCCGTCGTTGACTATCAATGTCGCAGGTTAGGATAGGAAAGACGGACTCACATGGCATCGGATTAAAACAACTCTGATATTAAATAACTCTCTCTATTAGCCAAATTGTAGCACAAACCATTAGTGGCATGAGAGCGGATGATGATTGTGGTGGTTATTGATACATCCGTCTAGCCGGGCGACATCTTCCAGGGGCGGATGAACGTAGGGCAGCAGCGAGAACGGTTATAGGAACGGGCCACGTGACGTGGCGGGCTCATTGCCACCTTGTTTGTCAAAGGTGCACAGCCAGGCAGCAGTCCGTCTTAGAATAGGCTTTTCCCTTTAGTTAGGGAGGTTTATTTAATGGCTCGTGCTAGGTAAGATAATTCTTCCTCTTGCTCCTGAGTGCTACCTATTTTAGGCATCTTAACCTTTATATTGTATTACCTTCCCTTTCCTGCTTATCCTTACTGATATATCCCTTGCAGCCTTATACTCTACAGTAGATTCAAGATCTTGATAATACTTAAGGAGGGGGACCTAGATAGGACTGTAAGCTTGCATGGCTTCTTCTCAAGTCCGAGCCCTAGTTGACAGCCTCATTAGGCTGCGGAGCATCCTTCCTACCCCTGAGGTTGCCGAGATACCTGGATAGTTGCCCTTCCATCACCTTCTTCATTAGGGAGTTAATATGCATAAAGGAATTACAAGTTAATATCTTATTGTTACGACCCATGCGGCTACGTTACGTGGCCCCCACAATTTCCACCTATTACAGAAGGATTACTTCTCCTAGTAATGATCCTCTTCTATTAGATTACTTGGATTACTTGGATTACTTAGATTATGGCGCTTTAAGACTGGATTACTATGGATTATTAATAATCTTTAAAGATCTAACCTTTAGATTACTATTATTCCTTATTAAGCTATTAGGCTACTTTTAGTATATAAAATATATTTATTAGTACTTTTATAAAACTTAGCTTATTAGTTATTAATAAAGTATTTTTATATTAATAAGCCTAATATATATTATTTAATTATTAAGAGATATAATACTTTATAATACTTAGTATTATATCTTATATAATCTGTAAATATAAACTTAATATAAACTAGTTTACTTATTTAGAAACCCTAATTATTATATATTAATAGCTTTTATTTAAAATATATTATATAATATTAAGTAATACTAATATAATAATACTTAATACTTTAATTTAGCCTTTTAACTTAAGATATACTTAATAGTACTTATAATAAGAAATACCTCTTAACTTAAAAGATATTTTTATAGAGACTAATAATAAAAATAAAGAAGATATTACCTTTACTTATCTAAATACTTATAAAAGGGAAGTTATAAAACTTAAATATAAACTTAAATATCTTAGCTAGTAATATAATAACTTCTTAGAAAATGTAAAGAATAGCTTTAATATAGTTAAAAATAAAATTAAAAACCTAAAGAAAAAGGTAGCTAACCTTATTAAGATTATAAAGGTATTTAAAAAGGAAGTAGAAAATAGTTAAAAACTTTATAAGGAATATATTAAATATATTATAGCCTTTATAATAACTAGAAAAGATCTTAAAGAAATCCTTTAACCCTACTAGCCTAAATTATTTAATAGTAATACTAATAAACTTTAAGGATTCTTTATTAGCCTTTAAAGCTATTAGATATATTACCTTATTTAGTTTATTATTAATAAACTAAGAGTTTAATATAATATAAAATTCCTTAAAGATAAAGTATTATAACTAATAAAACATATTATTTAAGACTATATTAATAAATTATATAAAAAATAATAAGAAATAATAAAATATATTTATTAGAAATATAAAAACTTTAAATCTAAGCTTAGAAATGCCTTTAAAGTAATAAATCAAAAACATATTATAAAAATAAAAATATAATAACTTAAATAAAAAGGATTTACTATAAATTACTTAGTAAAATATTACTATTAAGTAGTTAAGCTTAATTAAGAAGAAGAAGCCTATATAATATAAGTATACTTAAGATTAAAGCTAGAAGTTAAAGATATTATAATTAATATTAGGCCTAAATCTAAAAACTTAAATAAGCTTATAAATATTATTATAAAAATTAATAACTAGTAATATAAATAATATAGAGAAAGGCAAGTAAAAAGATATAGAGGGTTATATAATTCTTAGTAAAATATTAATAAATAATAAAATGCTAATTAAGAAAGAAAAAGATATATTAATATATAATATAAAACTAAACTAGGATTTATAATACTTAAAGTAACCTAATATAATAATAATAAAAGACCTTATAATATATTTAAAGTTAAATATTATAATTATAATTAGTTTAGATATATAGCTAATAAATATCTTTAATTAAAAAGGCTTAGAAATCCTAATTAAGGTAAGTAAATATTAATAGTAATTAATAAATAAAAACCTTAAATAGCTATATAAACCTAAGTATTAGGAATAATATAAAGCCTATATAATATAATAGCTTTATATAAAGGCATTATATTAAAATATAGCTAGTACTTATACCTAAATAGCTTAATTTATAAACTATAAGAAAAGTTTTTAATAAAAGAAAATACTAAAGTAAGAAATATATCTTAAATCTTAATACTATATAAGATAAAGGTAGTTAAATACTAAAGGGAATAATAGAAAAACCTAGAAAATTAATAATAAAAAAAGGAAAAGGATTATACTTACTATCTTAAGAGAAAAGAAAAGAAGAAATATAAGAAAATAAAATAAACTAAAACCTTTAAGATAATAAGGGAAAAGAAATCCTTAAAGTAGGAAATTAAAGGATACTTAAAAAACCTATAAGGAATAAAAATTACCTTTAATATAGGAAAATAACCTAAAGTATTTAAGATAATTAATACTACCTTAATCTAAATAATTATTTAAAAAAAAGAAAAAATAATAAAAAAGGAATATAAAGTAAGAAATAAGATTTATACTTATTATTAATAATACTCTTAAAATATAAAATATAAAGGAGGAGTAATATAAAATACTATATAATACCTCTATAATAAAGATAAATAAATTAAGAATAAGTAAAAGTAACCTTATAAACTACTATTTAATAAAAATAATAGTAGGATATATACCTTAATAGAAGATAGATATTTATAAGGAGCTAGGGAATATAGTAATAATAGTAAGCTTAAAAGCTTATATGTCTAGGCTTATTATATAGTAAATGCTATAAACCCTTATTATAAAGAACTAAAATTTAATATTAAAGATATTATAAAAATATTTCTAACTTATTTAGAATATAATAAACTATTATAGCTATTATATAAATACTATTAATATATAATATATAAATAAGAAAAGGAAGATAATAATTACTTTTTTATTATAATTCTCAGTATACTTAATAATAATCCTTATTAAAAAACAGAGATAAAAGGATACCTAGTATATTACTAATATAAAAACCTTAAAGTAATAGAATTATAATTTAGTATATTTTATTACTAATAAATCTATAAAATAAAGAAACTTTATAAAGGAATTTACCAGTCTTAATAACTAATTAAAAAAGCTAAGAAAGAATATAATAATATAATTTAAATAAAATAGTAATAAACTTATAATTTAATTAACTTTAGGTATATTAAAGAAAATATAGATAGTAAAGGATTATTAAAGTTTAAAATTTATATACCTAAAAACTTTAATATATATATTAATTTATAATGCTTTTATAATTATAATAGCTATAAGGAATAAGAAAAGGAGGAATAATAAAATTTAATTAATAATATAAGTTTAGATATTATTAAAGAAAGTTTAAAGCCTTAAGAGGATAAAGAACTTAAGATATTAATAGAATTTTTTAAGAAACTATATAGTATTAGAGGAAAGCTTATTAATAAGTAAAAGAAAGCTTAAAAATAATATAGTAGATATAAATAAGAACTTATAAAGGAATAATAGGAATAATAGGAATTAAATAAAGTAAATTATATTAAAGGATATATAAACTTAAAAATATATTATTAAAGTTACCTTAATAATATTAAAGTATTATATAATAAGTAAATAATAAAATTAGAAAGATATAAGGTATACCTAAAGATACTTAAAGAATAATATAAAAAATTAGAAGAATGCTTTTAATAGTAACTATTTAATAATAAATTTATTAATAACTATATTAATAATAAAGGTTACTATAATAATAATTATAAATAAACTTATTAAGATACCTTAAGAAAAGTAATATACCTTCTATAAGAATAAAGCTATAAAAGAGTAATAATAAGTAAGAATAAGAAAGACTTAAACTAATAAGTGCTTTAGGAGCTATATAAAATAATAAACCTAATTGCCTAATACTATAAGCTTAAATTAAGGAAAGATAGCTAAATATATAAATTAATAATAAAGTAAAAAAGAACTTTATTAACTTAAGGATAATTATAAAGTTAGAATTACTATAAAAAAAGAAATAATTACTATATTAACTTATTAATATAAAAAAGTAACTCTTTAATTATAATAATAATATAATAAATTAAGAGATTAATTACTTTAAAGTCCTTATTAAAGGAAAAAATTAAGGAATAAGTTTTAATAATATTCCTTTAGGAAAGGAGATAGATATTATCCTTAAAATAAACTAGCTTAAATAATAAAACCTATATATTAACTAAAAGACTAGCTAAGTTATATTTCCTAATAACCCTAATAATAATAGTAAAATAATTATAATAAGTAATAAAAGATCTTAATTTATAATTAAGAGGATTAATATAAATTAATATAAAGTAAAGACTTTATTACCTTTAAGAGGAATATAATATAAGTATAAGATAGGCTAAAAATAAAAATTAGAAATCCTAAATATCTTTAAATAATAAGACTTATAAAAAGATAAATTTACTATAATAAGCTAGGATTAACTTAAGAATATTCTAAAAGAATATTAAATATATAATAAATTATTTAAAAAGAACTAGAAATAAAAGTCCTTAAATATAGTTAATAAGATTATAAAATTAAACTTATAAATAAAAACTTATTATTTTAAAAGATTTATTTATTAAATTAAGGGGAATTAGAAGTTTAATAATAATATA